ATTTAAAACAGGGAGGACTGTTCGGGTGCAGGGACTTGACCCAAAATGGCCACGTTGTTCGTCCCTCTAAGCAGACATTTACTTTAGTACATGTTGCACAATCTGTATATACACTGATGCCTGGCACCCATGGAAGCAAAAATGGTTGATTCTTTCTTGCCTACCCAAAAGCACCCAAAGAATCATTACCTTTGTGGTGACTGCACGCGATCACTAGCATCTAGATTGTGACGGGTTTTAGCAAAATCTGGGCAACCCTATATGTTTGTTGATGGACGTGGCCGGTGCCGGCTTCCTGATCTGGTGACTGTGCACATACAGTAAGTGTCTGAACACACAGGACACGAGACGGCAAAAAAAAAAACACAAACAACTGAAGAACGCCATTGGCTTCTCAGTGGAGCACTGTTAAATATGCAAAGGGCCACTACCTTCATGTGATCCTCATTCCCAATCCTCGACTCCTAAATGAACTTTTCTAGGAATGTGGTCAAATCTTGCAACAACCCAAAGAGACCTTTGACCGTCACACTGTGTGGTACTGCCTTCATGCCGTTCATCTCAGCATGATGCAAGCCCACCATCCTCGGACTGGGCTTCCGTCAGGGGCTCGTGCAATTCCCAAGATCGTCCCCAAATGCAATGCTTGCAAGAAGCTACTAGGAACAAGTGCATCGCTTCTAGTAACAAGTGCCTTACTAGTAGTAACAAGAAGCTAGTAGAAACAAGAAGCATTTAATGCTTGCATTTGGCCGACTTTCTGACAGCTTCTGCATGAGCGACACATCGCTGTTCCCGAGCAACAGTACAACCACCCTGCAGAAGTCTTCGCTGCCCAAGTCAACTGCAGTTTCTTTTGCGGACAATTTTGTCTCTTTTTCAACCATTGGGGGCATCGTCATGGCCAAGAGACCGCTTCTTCTCAGACCGCTCCTTCTGAACAGCCGTTCCCACCTGTGAGTGCAATGAAGCGATCAGTTCACGCTTGTGCCATTCCGTTCTAGTTGACCATCACCAACTTTCCAAAACTATTGAATTCATTTTTTTGCTTACAGGTAACTCGGTAGCCAAAAGCTACAAGCTCATCATATCAATCCCTTCTCCAGACTCTGTGCAGCATAAACTCTGATAAACCAACTTGCAAGTTCCTTTTGGTGGCCAAAGTGCAGGGATTCCTTTTCTCCTTCTGGTGCATTGGCTCGGAAACGGGCCCGTGGACCGTGGACCCCTAAGCATTGGCTACCCACCAGAGCTCTTGGAGCAACAAGTTGATTGACTCCCTGCTGAGCAGTCTAAGATAGTCTAAGGTTGTGTTTGACATTAAGCCAGCTACAGTAAACCATCAAAGGATGCAACAATGAGAAATCAAGAGTTGGCTAGCATATTTGTCTGACTCCATCACTGGAAGGCATCCGTGCATCTCCAGAAACCCAAGGGACTGCGAACATGTCGCTGCCTCAAACCTGGGGCTGACATGTTAGAAAGGACTGCCAGAATACATCAAGACTGAAATTCAGTAGCATCAAGGTCTGTTTGCAACATGAGTATTGCATGGGAGATGTTCTTGCTTCTGGAACAGGTTCAAATGTCACCCCCTGGCTGCAACCCCAAAGCCGAACATTGGTGACGTGTCAAGTCCGAGCGGGGCGATAGCATCAGCCTGAAGGAGACGTGATTCAGCTCTTTTGAGCGCCAAGCACATCTTTAGCACCAGGTAGGATGCAGATCTTGAGCACCAATGGATGCTTACATACTGTAGATGTCAGGGTGCCAACCACGAAAAATCCTCCTGTGGAGCCATAGATGGTGGAGACATCATCATGTCAACCGATACTCACAGGTGTCCTGCACCAGCGGATGAATATTAAACAGCTTCTGGAAGTATAGCACGCACCCTGCAAAAACATTTCAAGAAGAACGCGGATATTTGCTAGCCATGGCATGCAACAATCGGGCAATGAATTCACCATGCCTGCGCCTGTGCCACACATCCCAGCTAGGGCACAAGATTTGAAACTATGTGCACTTGGCATGGCCCCATCTCCATGTTCTCGATTCTCCATGGCCACTCATCAAGTCTCCAGCTCAATGACTGAGCTATTCCAAGCATATCAACATCTGAGCTCGCAAACTCTTTTCGCAAGCCTCACTGCTGACCTAAACAGATTTCTGGACCACTCTTCCTTGTATCCTTCCAAAGACCTAGAGTTGTGAGTAGTGAAGGCATTGTGCCTGTGTCGCGTGCACTTGCGTCACGCAAATGGCTTTCCCCAAGACCAGGCAGGACCATGTTGATCCGAACTAAGGAAAATACATAGGATTCCATCCAGGACCCAAAATCCTTAAGCAAGGCTTCTAATGCACTCGGCAGAAGCTTAGGTATTCCGAATCCCCCTGACGCTGTTTGTAAAGAAGAAGTGTCGACAAACGCTCTCGAGCTTGCACTATGTTTGGGATGCAAAATGCAGGTTCTTTTTGTGACGTATACTTCCGTCCGCATGTCCAGGCCGATCAACAGAGAGAAGAACCACCGACCCACCGTGGGGTCGGGGATTCAACACCAGCCGATCGTCCATTTAGTCAATGAGGGTCTGAAGGCTGACGATCGCTGGTGTTGTGAGCAAGTCCCTGGCCACCCGAAACCAGGGACCCAGATCTTCCGAAGTGTCTACCTTACTGCGAAGATTGGCATGTCAGCCTGGTCCAGTCTTCTGATCGCAATCGCGGAGGGGAACACTAAACTTCACTAAACCCTAGAGCTGGCCGCGGCCCTGCTACAAGTTACAAGGATTCCGTACGCCCATCAAAGCCACTTCGAAGCTTGTTCAAGCGTTGCACCACTGTAGCCAACCGGTCTTGCAACCCTGGCCGTGTGCGAAAAACGCAATGTAAATCAGCACATCCTGCTGGAGGGGCCTTGGTGGAGACCATCCCCATACCAAGAAGAGTGCTACCCTGGATTTGCTCCTAGGCCCAAGCAAGTTCATCGAGCCTTACAAAGTTCCACCTGCCACTGGGGACGGGGTTGTTGCTGAGCATGTCCTAGGGTCCTAGAGTACCCGCTACAGTTCCCATGCGTTGCCAATCAAGACATGAAAATCAGTCCAATTTGGATTAGGAGAGCACCAACTAACATTGTTTCACGCCCATGAGGAAGAACAACATGCGCTGATTGGTGGGAAACAACGATGAAAACACACTGAATCAAACGGCACCTTGGTCAACGGTCTCTCCGTTGGTTCCATTCGCCGCGCCTGCCACCTGCGCCGAGCTCTCGCGGAACGAGTCCACCAGCATGGCAGAGCGCTGATCCAGCAGCCAATCCGTGCGGCTGGGCCTGGTTCGCCGTCAATCGCAAGGCTAAATCGCAACCCAAAACAGGCTTGGCCTTCACCAGTCTCTATCTTGTGAGGATGGGCTCATCCGGGGATGGCAAGGAAAAACAAGAACCCTAAAATATATATGTTGAACTATGATTGGCAACATCTAGCCGTTCCAAATTGATGGCTCTTATTGAAACAGTAACACTTGAGGCCTGAGAAAGAAAAGGATCCTTGCGAAGGCATATATGGTATGTTCGGTTCTGGGGGCCATACCATGCCATATACATCCCGGTTCAACAATTTAACGGGCGACGCTAGGACCACCAATTTGTAGTATACAACATGTTCCACCCCTTACAAAAAGAGCGACAACATAGCAGTGAAATAAAGAAATTGTTATGACCAGAAAATGCTGATCCCAACGTATAGGCGCTTGTCCTGTCCAAAAACGCAGGATCTACAAATTAACTCAACCACTCATCTGCAAAGTGAAGACTCTGAACGCCAAATTCTATTACAGTAAAAACAAATTATATGCATATAAGGTCAGCTATAAGGTCAGCTATTATATGTTTCCCCGAATCAGTATACTGTACATCCAACATCAAGTTGGTCAGGCTTGGTTCGTTTCACGTGGTAAAATGAACTGTCACGGAAAACTGGTTCACCCGGTCCATCACCTCACCTGAAGCATGTTAGTGGAACCAAGCGGCACATCTGGAGAACTCTCGCTTTGAAGAGTATCTATGTCGATGCGGCAATCTTGCGAAGGAGGTTCAAAACCAGTGTCCTTTGGAAACCGGATGCTGCAATCACGACATGGTAAGCACGGTCGGCCAGGGACTTTTGAAACCAGCATGGCTTGATTCAAAACAGCCGATGCTCTTTTCCTCTTCTCCTCGCATGGAAACACTTGGGGCAAACCAAACTCAAATAGTCCTTCTTTGGCCAAGCGCCAAGCAAAACAGTTGCATGAACATCCGTATAGCATCGTATAGTTTCAGCAAACCCTTCATGTCGGGACCCAAAAAATTCCCAAACTTCGCGGCCGAGGACGAGTCCTCGAGAACTTCGGACAAGGCCTTCTCAGCCTGGCACATGTTCGACCCAGCAACCCAGCAACCGGCAGCCTGACTATGACGACTGCCCCGACTAGACGACTGCAGGGGTTGGGATTTCTGTTTTCTCATGTCTCTTCTCATGTCGGGGATCTGTAGATTTGTGCCCCATTGATGTGAGGCCGAGTCGGATCTTCTCGAGCTGCCTTTCCAGCCACCAGGGGCCTTGCCCTTCCTTTGTTCTCGGGAACTGCCGGCTGTCCCGCCCAAGTCCCGCCCAACAGCAGGCAAACCGCATGTACAAACAGGATCCTGCAGGGTGGAAACATGGCTAAACATGGATTTTTCCGTGTCATCCTCGCTCTCCCTCCCCTATCTTCGTGCTGAAGTATTACATATTGGTACATTGTACAACGTCAAAATGCTGATGTTAAGCATGTCTTACTGCTCTTTACCAACCCAGCCACATCCCTCGCCGGCACCGCCCTGGCCCGCTCGGCCTCTGCCAACAAGGGCTGCAGGCCCCCCTGCAAGACTTCGAAGCCTCAGGCGGTGGAGGAGGAGGAGGAGAAGGAAACAGAACATCAGTCAACTTGGTGAGTTTGTGCTGGTCTATGTGGGTCTCTTGGGTGCCTGCTGCTCAAGCATCCAGGGCTTGTAAAGTGGAAGGTTGCGGACTGAGGCCAGGGTATATATATATATACTATGGATATGATTATTTATACACACACATATATATATATATATGTGACAGTGAGCCAAAGTACTCGTTAAGCTTGTTCGTTTGCAATTCATTCATATGAACGTACTTGACTTTAAAAAATCGTACTTGACTTGTCTATAAGCACCTCGAAGTCGACCCATATATTTATATAAAGATATCTAAATCAAAAACCAGCGTTGGAGGTGGCCCACATTCGGTCTGGTTGATTCAAGGCTTGGGCTCACCTGAAAACCATGAATTTTGTCTGCATATGTTGCTTCAAGGGACATCAACCCATGAAGGGCAAAGCACTGTGAAGGGAGTACACTCAGGGATTCTTCAGGTCCCTTTTTCTTGGAGGATTCTCATATCCAGCCAGCTGGTTCCCTAAGACCCAGCCCTGAAACATCCTCAATGAACACAAGCGGCCCTTCATCGCAGCGGGGGGCTTCAGGCGGTCGTGTCTGGGACATGATGCCCAAAAGATGCACCGCCTGAAAGAATCCATTTGACAGGACAGTTCCCTGGAAGACCAGTTTCCTGTACAAAAAGTGAGTGGTTCGCAGTTCGCAGAAACCAGGAAACCAACCAGCAACAAGATCTGGATCACAGGATCTCAGGCAAGATCATGTTGGAACAGGACATCTCCTCCAAAATATGGCATCTATAGACCACTTGATTCCAAATCGTACATCCAAGTGGATGCCCGGATGCCCTTTTTTCTTCACGATCTTCGTGGTCGTCGTCCGCTCCGGGGCGATGGGGGATGAAGCGTGCGGTTCGAAAGCGGTTCTAGGCTATGCATACTAAATACTTTTTTCATTTGATGGGTCATGCGTCAACACTACTAAACAAGGAGCCTGTGGCGTTGGATGATGAGGATGATGGTGCCTTCTGGGAGGGCGTCACTGAACATGACCATGATATATGCCTTGGCAACCCTGGCCTAGACATGTCAGGATGACAATAAGAGCCACGCGCAATTTCAAAGACCAGTTGCAATAACGGCCTACATCTCAAAGGAGGTTCAAACTGTCGCAGGTGGACCGTGCACTTAGGTCCGAATTGACCAAAGTGCATGTATCAAAACGTGCATTCCGATAGCGGTACTAGAAACCCTGCAACACTTCCCATCGACCGATTTTGCGCCATGCCGGACTCGAACCCCCGTGACACCGTGGTGGAAGATCTTCGGGCTTGGTTATTTTGGACTCATGGGGGCGGAGCAGATTTTTCCGCGCTATTGCCCAGTAATCGCTTCACGGCGTTTTGCCCTTCATGGCCCATCGACGACCACCGACCCCCAGTGACAGTGACGCCCAATTTAAGAGCGGATTCGACCGGGTTATAGCTAGCTTTTGACGGTCCAGTTGCATGGATCTGATGAGGCGCTGTATACACACTTGTCGACATCGACAAGTTTTTCGAAAACTTTTACAGGATCCTCGATATTGGTTCACAGGACCTTCGATATTGTTTTCGATCGATTCCAAATACTACCTTGTAACACCCGGACAGGAGTTCTACAAAGAACGACTTGCTGAAGGTGGGAAGTATACATCCGGGTTGAGCAGCTGCACAAGCAAGCTGGTGTTCTGCACTACAAGATGACGCGCGATCTGAAGAAGAAGCGTGCGTCTAGGTCAGACATGATTTTGGGCGGGGATGACCTGGAATCGATCGTTCACATGATAAAAGGTGGGTCATGGCACCTGGGTTGCCCAGTGTACCCACGCAGGTAAGGTTGGCCATGTTTTCAATCCCCCTCCAAGTCTCCCATGACCCCGCTTTTCCCACGCACCAGCGACTTCCAAGCTGGTCCGACGTTTGGGACGAATGGTGGATAGTGTTGAGAGTCAGGGAGACAGCCAAAGAATTGTTTTGTGGGTTGTGTTCTTTTCTGATTTTTTATGACCAAATATGAAAACCAATTGGTCCTCAATTTTTGGAGATTCCATTTTTATGATGTTTATGATTTTATCGATTATTTTGATTGTTTTATGACTTTTTTATGTTTTATTTTTTGTTTTTCAACAAATCAGAACATTGACAATATTCATAAAATATTTTTTTCCAAAAACATATTTTTCATTAAAGCTTATTAATTTGTCAAAAGATATTTGAACTTTTTATTTTTGAAAGATTTTTGACAATTTTTTGAGAAACAATTTTTTGAGAATGAAAAATCCATATTGTTCCAAAAAGTTTTTGTTTTATGCGAATTTTATCATATTGGTCAATGAAAAATTGTGGAACCTTATGATTTTTTAACAATGTATGATTTGTTGAACGCATCAAGAAATCATAACACAGTTCATGAAAAATATCATAGAGTTTTCCAAAAACATAAAGTAAAAACACACATTTTGTGGTTCATAAATGTGTTTCATAAAAAAATACCGAAAGTAACAAAACCAAAGTTGTTGAAATCATAAACAGTGTTATTGAAATCATTTTTCCTAGCCTCTCCCCAACTCACAAGGATAGTGGATGGGACAATGGATGGGCCACAAATTCTAGCTAGCCCCCAACAGGCTTCTAGTATACTGGAACATGGACCATTTCTTCGAACTGGAAAGCGCAACAGCCAGGAACAGTGGAAACAAACCATCATCACGTGAATAAGTGGAAACCAACAGCAGGTTACGCTCTTTAAAGCCATGCCCTCCAACAAGTTGGACAACTTGAGAGGGTCAGGCCCATTTCCAACTCAGTTGAGGCGTCGACATAGATTTGGTTTCTGTTGGAGGCTTGCGCCACAGTCTCTGATCGTCCGTTTGCCAGCTAAACCCTCCATGTCATCGACATTGTTGATCCCCACCCACCCTGGATTCGAATCCACAAAACCAACAGCGAGCGGAACAAACGTGAACAGTCTCCCAGATCTTGACCCAAAATTCATCCAGCTGCATGAACTCACATTTTTCAGAAGCTGGACAAGAGCGGACTTCTTCTCCAAAGGACTAAGGACTTCTGTTTGTGGGCTCGTTGCACCTCTATACCGACCATCTTATATTAAGGTCACAGTCCTTTCAATTTGTGAATGACCTACTTGGGTGACATGGTTTAATCCTACGCCTGTGCCCGCTCTCCATTCCACTCCACCCTTGCAGTCGCTAGTGCGGCCGGGCCCAGCTCACCTGCCAGCACGGGGACTTCTTTATTACCGATTAAGGATTGGAAATGATGGGCCTACACACTGACATCGCAACAATTATCCTAAAACCTTGTCTTTTTCCCCCACTATCGTTCAATGGGGGGTGGCAGCAGATGCCTTGTGCCTTCACCTTTGTGGACATCGACAACAGGGCATCTCAGGGAAGGTTGTCTCGTTGGAAGCTTGTCTCGTTGGCAAGCTTGTCCCTTGGCAAGCCGCTGTGATGTTCTGCCTCAAAGCGCGGAGAATGTCCTCGCACCTCTGTAGAGCTTCAACCGCTTTTTTGCACGTGCATGACCACGTCCAGTCCACAATCATGACTTGGCGTGAATCTGGATCAAAACAAGCTATTCCCTTCACGTGCAGAAATACATGGTCACAAGGATTAACCGTCCAGCACCGGTGAAGTCGAAGTGAGTAAGGGTGTTGCTGGACGTCGATGGGCCATGAAGGGCAACACCCCCTTGGAGGGGACCACTAAAGACCCATGGGCCAGTAAGAACTTATCTTTTTTCCTATATAAGTGAAGTCGCATCGTTCGGCCATGAAGGGCAACACACTCCGATATAGGGAACCACTTGATCCAAAGACCATGGGCCAGTAAAAACTGACCTTGTTTACAATATAAGTGGTGTTTTTGTATGACCACCTCCGGTGGTGAAGCTGCTGGGGCCATGAAGGGCAACGCACCCTGATATAGGGGACGACCAGGGGCCAGTACAACCTGATCTTTTTCATTCTTTATAGTTTTGTATGACCGCGTCCAGTGATATTATAAGGATCTACATTCCATCAACCAGAACCGGGTGAAGTTGCTGGGCATCGATGGGTGTCGCTGGGCGTTGCTGGGCCATGAAGCGCTATCACGTTGGATGATATATATTTGGGAAATTTCATTTGATCACGCATGGAAACGCAATTTGAAACTGGGTCAGATCGCTCCGAAAATTAAACGGGAGATAGCAGAGTGATAGACAAACATATCCGTTCGAGGTATTCAAGACCCAGATCCCAAATTTTATACCTCCCATCAACCAGAACCGGGTGAAGTTGCTGGGCGTCGCTGGGGGTCGATGGGCGTCGATGGGCCATGATCGGGGGTAAGATGGATCATTTAAGCATGGAAACGGGATTGGACCCCGCGTATCATATCAGATTCACGATCGAGTTTAGATGGAGGGATAGCAGAGCGATGGACAATCGATTCATTCGAGGTATCCAACACCCGGATCCAAAATTCTGGAACTATTCCTGTTGAAACTTCATCTACAAAAAGGAGAGCTTGAGGCCACTTGTGGCATCTACAGAACCCGACTTTTGTAGAGAAATCACATGGCAGTATGGCTGGCTTTTGTGCAAGCGCACTCTGGTACATGCCGCGTTTTGTATATGGCACAGCATCTTGGGTCAACGCTTTAAACTCACTGTACCAATCCAGGGAAAGTAAAAGTTCTGGGACTGAGTATGATTATGGATATCAGGCCAGGTGGTATCACAGGTGAACGGGACAAATTTCAAGGGCGTCGCACACGTGAATACCCATAGACTTTGGAGGTTGAAATTTTGGTCCAGCTTGAAAAGGTCTGACCTGTTCATGTCTCCCTTGTAATCTCACGAGCGATGCAACAGGCCCCTTGGACCCGACGGACCGGTCGTACCGAAAAGGAAACATGGGACCATGACCCGAACCCCCAACAACCGGTGCCATTTATAAGCTGGTCTGAATCCAAAATTTGTTTTCTACACCGACCATAAATGTTTAATCCGGAATGTCATCTGAGAGACCACTGCCTGATGAGGTGCTTTCACGGGTCGACGTCCAGATATTTCCAAACCGCCCCTATGCTTTCTGGTTAGGACTTCCAACTCGTCAAGCACCACCAAACTTCGGCTCGACCAGGTCTGAAACGGAAAGCGTCTCTCTGTGGAACCAACACCCCTACAAGCCTACCCTAACAACACCATTTTAGAACTTTGCAGTTAACCCAAACTCTGTCCCCATCCATGTTCAGAATGAAACCAGCAATCCTCTAAGATTTGAATACATGGTTAAGGCTTCCAAACACCAGTCAAGACCTCTGCGTGTTCCATTGTGCGCCAAACAATATTGGAATCTTCACCAATGAAAGGGGTCTAGAATGACAGCTTCAACCCTACAAGCCGTCAAACACGGCAAAGCCTTCAGAACACCATTACACCATTTGAGACCCTCCTGTCTCCACAGGTACCTGTGGAATCTACTAGCCTCCACCTCTGTTCAATTGTGCCCGAAACAATATTGGAATCTTCACCCATGAAAGGGGTCTAGAAAGCTTCAACCCTACAAGCCTTCAAAAACACGGCAAAGCCGTCAGAACACCCTTTAAGACCCTCCTGTATCCACAGGTACATGTGGAATCTACTAGCCCCAACTCTTCAGGGGATTGGTGCATCATTGTCATTCTTCTCCATTGGTCGATTGTCGAACAAAAATGGCTCTATACCAAAATGAAATCTGAAAGCAGTTGAAGGTGACAAGTCTGAAAAGTTGAAAAGGTCTAAAATGCTCAACGATTTGGGTCTACTATGCACACAGTGAATATCCTAGACCCTATGCCTGGCGGGTCCTAGAGCCCCTCCCATCCTAGACCTTTAGTAGTTGGGGGTATCAAATTAGTCTACCGGGCGGAAAACCATGAGTACAGGTCCGGACCCAAATGCGGACCTTTGAAGGAGACTCGATATGTGCGTGCACATATCAAAGGGCAAGCAGGAGGATCTCATCATTTTGTAGGTCTGCGGATGCTGGACCCTGGTGATGTCTTGAACTATACCTTCACAACAATGTGCTGCAAGTGCCAATGAGTGCTTGTTCAATATACGGCGACGAGGTGCAAGTGAACAAAAAAGGTGATAGTATCTTTGGACTCTACGTTAGGTTGACCCTGTGCAAACCACGGACAGTTCGCACGATGCATTACTCCTTCTTCACACTCCGGAGTCCATTGATCGACGGCGAACCGACGCAATACATACACTATGGCCAATTCTTCGAAGGGCTGCAGAAAGCTTGAACGCTGCATTGGATCACCCAGAAGTCAAAATTTTGCGGTCTCGAGTTCAATTCAAAGGCGACCGGCCCTTCCTACCCAAAGCATCCTGGGTTGAAAAATTTCAATCGCTATTGAATTTTTCAATTGCAAATTGAAAAAATGTAAAAAACCAATCGAATTTTCAATATGGTGCCACTTGCAAAATTCAATCGACAATTCAATATAGATTTATATTTTTTCAATCGAATTTTCAATCGAAATTTCAATAGATTTTGGAGATTTTTAAGATCTCCAGCCAGCATTTTGAAGCTAAATGGGGCTTTCCAGCCCATATGTTGCAGTGAGAAAAGTGAAAGGGCTATCCGACCCAAGGGGCTATCCAGCCCAAGTGAGAGTCTATGCAGCCCAGCTCTTTTTGGCTGATGGTAGTCCACAGCAGGCCTGTACAAATTGAGCTAATTTTGCTCTGGATGCTCCATTTTGGAGTCTATTTCCTGAGCTTCAGCACTTTCCTCAGCTTCAGCACTTTCCTCATCTTCAATAGCTGGGGTGTCTGGAGGAACCAGCACCTGTGAGTCCTCATTTGGATCCAGATACCACCCTTCTGCCAGCAGCACTGGGTTTGAGGTGCCCTCCCCCTTGACATACAAGACTTTCTGCTTCTTTGCCATGTGCAAATCCATGTTGCAGCTACTCCCCTTGTGCTTGAGATGCTGGGCTGCAGGCAAAGTATTTGGCAGGGCTGTCCAGCCCACCTGGCTGTCCACCCCACATAAGCTTACCCCCTTTCAGGGCTGTCCAGCCCACCCCACATCCCCTTTCAGGGCTGTCCAGCCCACCCCACATAAGCTTATTTCAGGGCTGTCCAGCCCACATGCTTACCCTTTTCCTCACTTCTCTTCATCCTCTGACTCTCCCTCTGCAAGGTCAAAGTGGCCATCTAAAAAGAGGTGAAACACACACCAAAATTTTTGGAGGATCTTAGAGCTCACTTTGTGAGCTGGTGTTCCTCTGGTGCAAGAAGCCCCTATTGCTTTTGCGACTGCCATAAAGGATTCAGATCCATAGCACCAAGTCAAGGATGGGTGTCCATATTGTGCCTGCTCTGCCAAATGCACCAGTACATGGTGCTTTTGCGTCAAGCTGTACATGTACTCACCTGCATCCATTGCAGCCCTAGCCAGAAAGGAATAGTGGGACAGCAAGGTGTTGGTGGCTGCCAAAAACTGCTCCCCCTGCTTTGCGCCCCATTTTTGCCAGCTGTGCTCTCCCATCAAGGTGTAGAGCTGGTTCAAGCTGGAAACCATGGCTAGCCTGTGTTTATCAACCCTGCTGTCTTTGTAGAGCCTGCAAAGCTCTAGGCACACAGGGGCAAAGGCCCTGATTTTGGCTCCTTTGACATGCCTGAGGCAAGGGAACTCTTCTGTTGTAGGTTGCAGGTCTGTCAACTTGAGGTGCTTCATCCTCTTGGAAGCTTCGACCTCCAGCTCTGTATAAAGCCTCACCAGCAACTTGTTCAAGGCTTGCAAGGTTTGCCTCTCCTTGCTTGGAAGTGTTTGCCAGACAAGTCAGGTGATGGGGCTTTCCAGCCCATGCATGATTCTACCCTTTAGGGCTGTCCAGCCCAGTCAAAACAGCCCATAAACTTCAATCAAGATTCTGGTCCTCCCACCCAGCTGGTTCATCACTGAAATGAGAACAGACCCATGCAAATATGCTGCAACCCCCAGGTCAAGCACATGCAACACATCTAGTTTGACAGCCAATGCATTGGCAGTTGGCAGCTTGAGCAAGGGATGCGCCCCATATTCCTCTTGAAGCTTGGCTGGGGTCAGAGCTGAAGCCCTCCAAGCTGCAGATGGCCTGAAATCATTAAAAGGCCTTGTGGAATCCTTGAGCTTCTGGTCTGCCAGGCAGTAAGGGCAAATATAATTGTTGCCAGGAAATGGAAATTGAAATTCAGATGCGAACCATTCCAAATCGCCTGTGATACCCCACAGCCAACCTGGCCTGAACCTTCTCCCTTTCTGAGCATCCATGCCCCCCCCCTTTTGTCTTTCTTGGGGCAGGCCCCTTGGTACACGACCTTGAAGCTCCAGGCCAGCTCCTCCATCAAGGTGCACCAGCCTTCCTTGGTTCCTGCTGATTTGGGCACAGCTCCCAACAGGAGCTGGGATTCTGACACACTTCTTTTGGAGAGCATGCACCTGTCAGTTGGAGAGTGGGAGATTGTTGGGGCTATCCAGCCTAATTTGAAAAGGCTATCCAGCCCAAGAAGCTAGGTAAAGGGGCTATCCAGCCCATGTGACAGTTGACCCAAGAGCAAGCTTCCATACAAATGCAGGGGTACCCAGCCTACTCAATTTCAAAGCGCAAGGCCTCATAGATACCACCTGCAGGCTGTCTGCTTCAGTGTATGGCGCACTGTCCCCATGCAGCAGCCAAGGGATGGGGAGCCGAGAAGGATGCTTGAAATCCAGCTCCTTCCACAATGCACTGGTCATCTGTGGGCTGCTCTTTTGGCTTTTCCAGAAGACGACAAGCTCCTCATCCTGGCATGTCAAGGCAGGCAGAAGGTCATTCTCTTCCAATGCCACTGTCCACATGTGAGGCAGTAACAGCCAGCAATCTGAAATCTTGCTGGTTTGTTGTCCCTCTTCCTTTTGCTGCAGGAGGCAAGGAATCTTCCAAGGCTGAGGGGACAATAAGGCACCGAAGTGTTTCCTGCGTAAGTCTCTGTGGCAATTGCCTTTCACTTGCCCCATGGTGCCCAAGCTTTGCAGCCCGAGCATCTCTTGTGAGTTGGCTCCAGACTTCACTGCTGCACTGGATATCTCTTGCAGTTCTGCTGCGGAAATTTTGCCTATGGCAAATTTCCTGAGCAACACACCCCAGAGTGGGCAAGGGTTTGCCATCCCTTGAGAGGGCCTCGCTGCTGGCATGATGATCTTGCTTGTTCATTGAAAAGCTTTCAGCCCAAAAAGCAATTGAGATGTGTGTGAAGCTGGATAACAAGTGAGGGGGCTATCCAGCCCAGAAGCAAGTGAGAGCCCCCAAGAAATTATCAGGGCCACCCAGCACAAAAGCTTGTGAAGGGGCTATCCAGCCCAGAAGCAAGTGAGAGCCTCCAAGAAATTATCAGGGCCACCCAGCACAAAAGCAAGTGAAGGGGCTATCCAGCCCAGAAGCAAGTGAGAGCCACCAAGAAATTATTGGGGCCACCCAGCACAAAAGCAAGTGAAGGGGCTATCCAGCCCAAAAGCAAGTGAGAGCCCATGAGATTATTGGGGCTATCCAGCCCATACATGCGGCCTTTTTCTCAAAAACTCTCATGGTTCCCAGGCACTAAGCTTGGAGGGCAGCCCCAAATCACACCAACAACTCCTTGTCTAAAGTCTTTGGGCTTCCCTCCTTGCTAGGCTATCCAGCCCTCCTAGTCAGCTTTCAGTGCCTTAGCCAGCTGGAGCTTCTTGGACTTACAGCCCTTCAAAGCAGCCAAAGCATCCTGCAAGACAGCTGCCACTGCACCCTTCTTTCCTGGCCCCTTCAGAGCCTTGGCCACCTTGCCCAGGTTATCATGCCCTGCTTGGACAGCCTTCTCAGCATCCTTGACCAAAGGCTTTGGCAGTGTGCCCTTGCCACTGTGCAACAAAGCCTCCAAGCTGGCAAGGTCCTTGGTCAGCTCTGTCTTAAAGGCCATCAGTCTGTTTGCAACCTTTTGGTTGCTTTCTCCATGTGGCACTTGGCTCATGCACTCCCATTTGTCTTCTTTTGGCACCTTGTCTCTGGGCTTGTCCTTTGGAATCTTCTCACCAAGGGCCTTAGCCAAGTCTGCTGGCAAGTTTCCATCCCCATTCTGAGAGCCTTCCTCCTCTGACATTGCGCCCATGAGGAAGTCCTCTTCACCCAGCAGCTCCAGCTTTTCAGCTGACATCATGTCCATCACACTTTGCTTGTCAGCTTTCGCCTTGTAGGTGGCCCCACTCATCTTGTGCCTTGCAACCTCAGTCTTCTCCATTTGGGTGTTGGCTTTGAACAGCCAATACCTGCGATCAGCAGGGTCCCTCTTGGCAATGACAGTGCCTCCTTTCACTCTCTCCCTCAACTCTTCTTCACCCCAGTCAGTCTGTGCCTTGACAAGGCTCACTTGCTCCAAGCATTCCTTGAAGCTGTCTCCTGTCTTTTTTCCATCCACCACCCAGCCAAAGAGCAGCTTTCTTTTCTTCCTCAGAGCACCCACACCTTCTTTGGTTGCTTCTTTGTACTTTTCCTCCTCTCCTGACATCTTCCTGCTGGTTTCAAAGGCTTTCCACAGCCTCATTGAAGCCTTGCTGTCCAGCTTGTTGAGTGCGAGCTCAAACTGTTCCACAGTCATGCTCTGAGCTTCCTCGCAAAACTTGTTGTGGTCCTTGACAGCTTCAGCTGTCAAGGACACAGTACCTGAAGGTTCACCTGAAGGTTCACCATCCCCACCAACCTTGGCTGCAGGCCTTTTAGTGGCAGGCCTCTTCATTGTACCCACTGGCGGCTGGGAGTTCTTTGAACTATTGCTGTTTTTTGTGCCAAATGCTTCTGGCATGGGCAAAACTACCCAAACCCAATTGACACACCATGTTGAAAAATATATTCCAAATTTCTCCCTTTCAGGGATGCTCAGGTGATATCATGTGATTTCAGGTGCCTTCAGGGGCCTTCATGGGCTTTCATGGGCCTTCATGGGCCTTCAGGGGGGCTTCAGGTGATATCATATGACTTATTGTGTTTTTTGTTTCTTTTTTCAAACCTTGAGGCTGTCCAGCCCATATGGAAAGAATCACTAGTCACTAGTAAACCCTTGGGGTGTCCAGCCCAGATGGAAAGAATCAAGCCCTTCTAACACCCTGGGCTGTCCAGGTGGGAACAATCAACCCCTCTTCTGAAACCCTGGGCTGTCCAGCCCATGGAAAGAACCACCACTTTTTCATTTAGAATCAACCCGTCTTTTGAAACCCTGAAAGCAAACCCCTTTTCCTAAAACCTTGGGCTGTCCAGCCCAGATGGAAAGAAACAACCCTCTGAAACTTTGGGCTGTCCAGACCACATGTGAAACCAAAGGGGCTCTCCAGCCCACACCTCAACATCCTTGACCCAAGTGAAAGTAACTTCAAACTCTGTTACCCATCCAGCCCATATGTCAAAGGGCTATACCCAGCCCAAATGTGAAACACAGTGGGGGCTATCCAGCCCAAGTGTGAAAGCTCAACTGTGAAAACCTGGGGCTGTCCAGCCCAAGCACCAAGCAGCAAAGCATATGTTTCAGCTCTGGTGGAAGAGGTTTTGGTTCAGGGATTTGTACCCTGCTGTGCTGCCAGGGAGAACCCACCTTTCAGTCCAGGTAGCCCCACTCTTGTAAGACCTCTTTGAGTCCATCCCTGGCCTTTGCACCCCTGAAGTTCCGGCATGCAGTTCGCATACAGCCCTTCAGACCGCTACTTTGCCGGATTTCACTCCCCTTGGGCAGGTAGGACCAGTAGGAGCACTCCCTGCACACCCTGAAGCCAACCCTCTGCTCCTCCCAGAAGAGGTCAGTCCTTGGATTTCAATAAGGCTGTCCAGCCCAGGTGTGGGGCTATCCAGCCCAGATGGAAAAAGAACAACTTGTCTTCTGAAAGCCTGGGGCTGTCCAGCCTGTTCTAAAACCTTTTGGGCTGTCCAGCCCATAATTGACAGAACCAACGTTTTTCAGAAACCTTAGGCTGTCCAGCCCAAATGGAAAGAATCAACCCCTCTTCTCCCAGACCTCAACATCTTTGAGCTAAGTGAAAGTAACGAAAACCCTGGGGGCTATCCAGCCCACATGTGACAGACAATTGGGGGTTTACCCAGCCCAAATGTGAAACAGAGTGGGGGCTGTCCAGCCCAAGTGTGAAAGCTCAACAACAAATACCGAACAAGTTTCTCCCAAGGCTCATCGATTGAGCTGGCATTGTGCTGGCTCCAGGCTTTCCACCCATCCCATCCCTGCGCTTCCCAGCTCCACCACCCATGTTCATTCCAGCCTTCATTCCTTCTCCTCCATTCCTCAGCCAACGACATCAAGCCAGGCTGCCCCTCCAGTTCTCCCTTGCCAGCCTCCTTCCCTTCTCCCTTGCCACTTTCCTTCCCACCTCCTCCCCTGCCACCTTCTCCCTTGCCACCCTCCTCTTCATCTTCTTTGCCTGCTCCCTTGCCACCCTGGCCTTCTTCTTCTTTGCCTCCTCCCTTGCCACCCTGGCCTTCTTCTTCTTTGCCTCCTCCCTTGCCACCCTCTCCCTTGCCACCTTGGCCTTTTCCTTCTTCTTTGCCTCCTCCCTTGCCTTCTTTTCCCAGGGCTTTTCCCTTGCCACCCTTGCCTTCTTCTTCTGCTCCCTTGCTGCCCTTTCCTTGTCCTTTTCCCTTTGCAACTCCTGCTTCTGTGGCAGTGCCAGACCGAAGCGACTCATCCATCTTTTCAACCAGCCACTCCACCAAGTTGAGGAACTCACCTGACCAGAGAGGAAAACCAAGTGCATAGCAAGTGTGGAAGGGCTATCCAACCCAAAGTGTGACAGGGGTACCCAGCCCAATGAAAAGGGGTATCCAAGTGTGAAAGGGCTATCCAGCCCATGCAAAAAAAGTGGCCTTGCGAGTCCAACTCCTTCCATACCTTGAAGAGGAAGCTCCTGCCAGACTCCATGCTGTCCCTGCTGAGCCCGCTTTGCCTTTCTCCTTCAAGGCACAGCTTCCCAAGCCACTCACCGAAGCCCTGGGCCAAAACGAAGGCAAGAGAGTGTTTGGGCTGTCCAGCCCCAGTGGAAACAGAACAGCCTGCCTTCTGAAACCCTGGGCTGTCCAGCCCATAATTGACAGAACCATCCCCTGTTCTAAAACCTCAGGAAAACTAAGTGCATAGGGGTGTCCAGCCCAAGTGTGACAAGCCCAGGTGTGAAAGGGGGCAGCTAAGTGTGGAAGGGCTATCCAGCCCAACAAATGATATTTGCCAAGGCACCATGTCTGGGTGCTAAAGCGTTTGTATGGACCGCATTTGGTCGCGCCACACATTGGCAGGCTCACCTCCCTGTCCACGCCATGAGGCTGGTTCCCTTTGCCAGCAAACTTTTGACCTATCATGCTGGTGGTTGGGAGCCTAAGAGCCAGCTTTGAGCCTGTGCTGCTGGTGGTGGTGGCTTTACCCCCCAGTGAAAGGGCTGTCCAGCCCAAGTGAACACAACTTTTAGGGCTATCCAGCCCAAGTGGGAAAAAGGCTACCCTGCCCAAGTGTGTACAAGGCTGTCCAGCCCAACTTTTTTGGGCTATCCAGCCCAAGTGAACACAACTTTTAGGGCTATCCAGCCCAAGTGGGAAAAAGGCTACCCTGCCCAAGTGTGTACAAGGCTGTCCAGCCCAACTTTTTTGTGCTATCCAGCCCAACTACCTAGGGCTATCTAGCCCACAAGCTTACCCAAATTGTTTCAACTCTTCTTTTTATTGCTCACCTCCGTGAGGGTATGTGCTGGGCTAGCCCCCTACTTTTTCACAGCTTGGCTTTCCCAAGCCTTCACTTCGCCTAGGGTTTTCCCTGCTTTAAACATCTTCAGAGCTTCCTTGGCCAACTTGTTGTTGTGCTCCTTGCCTTTGTGGGAAAGAAGCTGCATAACCTGCCTCCCCCCTGGCACCCTCAAGGCCACAGCACCAGTCTTGTAGGTCATGAAATTCAAGGCCTGGTCTCCCATCACCCAGTCATCTGGCAACCTTTCCTCTTGACAGGCAGGCTTCTTACCCAACTTCTTTGAAGCAGCAGGTCTGGCCTCAGGCTTCTTACCCAACTTCTTTTCAGAAGCAGCAGGTCTGGCCATAGTCTGCCTGAGGGCCCTCTTCCTGGTAGGCACAGGCATCACATTCTCTGCTTCCTCCAGCAAAGAATCTTGGGTTGCAGGGACTTCAAACTCCTTCAAGAAATCATCTGTCGCAATGCTCTTGGCAGGAGACACCACCTTGCCCAATGGCAAATCATTGGTCCACAGTGCTTTAGGGCTATCCAGCCCATATGGGCAATGAGCCCAAAAGCTTTTTAAGCACCCACCTTCTTGCCAACCTAGTGCTTTAGGGCTATCCAGCCCATATTGGCAATGCAGGGCTATCCAGCCCAAAAGCTTTTTTAGCGCCCACCTTCTTGCCAACCTTCCTGGGAGAGGAACCTTCCCCTGCAGGTTCATTGAAGAAGGCCCAAATCTCTTCCAGCTTTTCCAGCTGGAAATGGCTGAGCTTCTTCCCAGCCTCCAGGTATTTGGCTTTATCCCTGCCAATTCTCCTGCAATGGTTGCACACCACCAGCAAAGCATCAGCAAGTGTCTTCCATAGTGTTCCCTGCATTGACAGTGGGAAAGAGTCCTTGATGCCTGGAAAATCCTTCAGGATCTGCTTGAGCGCCTCTGACAAGTCACTGTACTTGAACTGGAGGGAGGGCTCAACCTTGTACAGGCTCTTTATCAAAGGCAGCAGGTCCACCAAATCCTGGCCCACGACAGCCTGTTGCCTTTCCAGGTTGAGGTATTTGCCCAAAGCGAAAGCACCTTGCAGGCCAACAGCCTTCACATGGCAAACCAAACTGTCAGCTAAGTGGTTCAGGTCCACCTCTGGGACTTTCTCCCTTCTGGCACCACCCTTTGGCATTTTGAGCAAGACCTTTGCACATATTGCTTATGGGGGGGCCTTTCCAGACCTTGGATTGTGGAGGGGCTCTCCAGCCCATGGATTGTCCAGCCCATGGATTGTGGAAGGGGCTCTAGCCCATGCCCCAAATCAAAAGGCTATCCAGCCTATATGTGGACATGTTTTGTGGGTGTGTCAGCAAAGTTAGCTAGCTTGAGTATAGTCCTTGGAAGATTCAAAAATTCAATTGAATTTTTCAATCGAATTTTCAATCGTGTTTTCAATAGAAAAAACATCTTTTTCAATCGAGAAATCAATCGAACCTAGAAATTCTGCTATTGAATTTTGTTTGAAAAAAATCAATCTTCAATCGTATATTGAAAAAGAGAAAAATACAATATTGCAATTGAATTTTTTCAATCCAGGATGCTTTGGGTAAGAAAGATATTCCGATTCGTTCCCAGCTACACCGGAAACCGTACCTCGATCAATCATGAGCTTGTTTTTGTTCATGTCCGTGGCCTGTTTGTGGAACAGGAATATATGTATATATATATATATATATTATAGCCGTGCGTGCTTGATATGTGATGCAACGAGTTCTGCTCACCACTGACCACTCTCCATTTTGGTGTATGGCGGGTGATGCTCCTGAAGTTTCCGCAGCCTCACATGCTGGACCCCAATGCACTCCAAGTAATCCCTTGTTCCTATTAATAAACGTACCCCAATTAATAAAAACACATGTGCCCGACCCCAACAAATTGTTAGTAGCGTTTTGAAATTGCTCGCTTTGAAATTCAATACTCGTGGGTCCACAGTCGGGGGTGCCCCAGATTTTAGGTGTATTAGGGGGACAGCAAAAATAACCCGAATTCCCCCTAATATTAAAAACATCTCCAATCCTCCCCCAAAAATACCTCTCTCCCTCTCTCTCTTCGGCGAGACCGCGAGACCCTGGTTCTCCCTCTCTGTCCCTATCAACAGTTGGTCTAGGAAACCAACAAGAGGGGGAAGACCTTCGATTTGACCCTTTGTTGTTTTTTTGATGGTCGTTTTAACAAGGATTTTATATAATTAATTAGATTGGGAACCCAGTGATTTTCTTTCGAGACCCTACTTTTTATTAGGGCGAACAGAACGTTGCCCATTTGGGGGTACAACAGGTGCCCCTCAATAATAAACACCCCCTATTAGTAAAAACACCCCAGGGTCTTTATTAATAGGGGGGGGGGGCCGTTTATTATTAGGGAGAGGGGATTACCTTGCATGAGGTTATTGAAGTGTATATGCAGGACCTGTGGGCGGTTGCAAAACTCAATCGTTAATTTTGCATTGGAAAGCCTAGGGCCTTTGATTTTGCATCAAGAGCTTCTCCCCGGCGCAGATCAAGCCGTGCGGCGTGCATGTCTGCAACCTGGGCATAGTGTTCACTGCAATTCTGCGCTAAGCTCAGTGTAAAGTGCATGCACATGATCAACTTTTGAAAGGTGTAGAGACTTGGTAAAAGTTTTTTTGCAAACCGGCGGCAAATACAGCATGCAGGCGTTGATCATCGATCATACATGAGTTGATTAATTGGGCGATTGAATTTTTGGCATACGCGCCCAGGTTGACCCTGATCCAGGAAGGCTACTTCGGTGGAGACACGTTGTCTCTTGGAGAGCGACTACGTGTGGCGTTTCGGACTTCACTGCGTGGAGGAGGATGAATAAGATTCCTCAAAGGAGGTTCAAACCGTCGCAGGTGGACCGAAGAGATCATGCCTATTTGGCTGGGAAAGCTTGGAGCTCACGCATCATATTGCAGTGGCTGAATTTTAAAGCGGCCACGGCGCGCGACTTTGATGCCGGGCAATGCCGGGAAGCGGCTGGCGCAGGAGGTTCAGGCAGGTCGCAGGGAGTGGCCAACACCAAGCGCTGCTCCTTTCTTGTGTTCTTGAGCCATTGGCATCGTACTCTGGCTACAGTACTGTTGAATCCAGTGCATTTAAAACGAACGGGTGCGCAACACATAGATCGATATATCGAATTCGAAGTATGTGCGGTTTATGCTTTGTGGAGGTATTTGGGGTTCGCGCTAACCCTCCACGATCCAAGGCATGCCTTGGGATTGTTGGAGCGTGCTGGACGCTGTTTGATTCTGGCTTGCAATTGGCTGGGAATGGGGGTGAGCAACTGCCACAACCTCCGATGGAGGCAGCATATCTAGAAGAAGATAGAAGAAGTAAACTGAAGGAAGCCGTAGACCAGGAACATGAGCTATACACAGACCATGCACCGCACACGCATACACATCACGAACCGCACAGACTGCCCACAAAAGCTCACCTCGCATGAAAAAGAACTCCTGAGCTTGGCGCCATATTCTATCCCTGTTCTCCACCCAAGGTGATGGCCATTCCCTCGGCAGGACCATGGAGAAGCTACTGCGTGGGATCCAAGCATGATGCTGGAACACTAACGTCGGCAACACCCCACAGCACCAACACAGGGTTTCTGGGTAGTCACAGTCCTTGCCTGGCCCGCAGCCAGAGATTTCAATAGCCCGGCTGATCCGTCAGGGAACCCCGAAAAATAGCAAGGGCGGATTTGGTTGGGGATTGGAATTGCCCAGCTTGGGACCACCACATGTACAAGAGGTCAGGCACGATGTGGGGCGCGACTTCTGTAATCTACTGCCCTGCGTAGATATATACAAATTCCAGTCCAGTATATGCTACAAGAATATAGCTTTGTGTCCAAAGGTTCACAGAGTGCGAACTTGTATACACTTGCAAGATCATCTGAAGCTGCTCAGGACTGATGCAGAGGCCAGATCGATTCATGATGCCGGGATGGCCTTTGCAATGTGCATCTGAAGTTGACACGGCTGGCTCAGAGGCCAGCCTCAGAGATTCAACCCAACCTGGGATTCCACCTGGTCAGCAGGGTTTTCACCTGCAGGTGTTGGGGAATTGGCAGGCGTGCACGTGCTTTTTGCAAGCTGTTTTGTAGCACGGTCCATGGATTGCTTCTACCGTGTTCCACAGACAGACTGCGGCCAGGCGGAGCCGCATTAGTTTGGCTTTTGAAGCCGAAGCTGCACATGTTCAAGCATATGCTCAAGCGATGCTTGCGGTGGCGACTCTTAGCTGCCGTTCATGTCACAGTCACATAGGGTTCCATCCAGACTAGTCTATGCTAGGATCTAGTGCAGGTCGGTGACCTCATTTTACTCGATGTGGTCATAGTAAATGGGTCTTTGGACTTGAGATCATTTGGCAATTGTACAGCCAAGGGCACAACAAACATCAGGCATGCTTCTCGGAAGAGGACAGCATCGGCGTGCTCCAGCATGTGGCCAAACACGTTTCGGGCCAGCAGTGCGAGATGCGAGAGCTACTTGATGAAGGTGGCACGCTTGAGGCTACTTGGCTCAACATTTAGCAAAGTTACGATGCATGCGCAGTGTACTACATGTTTATGTGTGATGCACTTTATGTAAAGTTGAAGGTTGCAAAAAAAATAATGCATGCGGAGGACCAAGTTGTTTGTATAGAGTTGCAGTTCGACATGCATAGAGTTTGCAGTTCGAGTGTCATCATGTTGCAGGATTGACATGGTGGCCGCGTGGAAGCGATGATCGGAGCAATGCTTAAGAAAAAGTGCTCGGAGAGCGGGTGGGCAGAGTTAGGCAGTAGTCCATATAGACATGTACTAGCTAAACCAGTATTGGTATACATGTATATATATATATATGTATATTACAGTAGTACTTTATTGTGCTTTCCGAGGCAACCACTCCCACCTCTGATTGGCCAAAAGGGCGACTTCTGTTTTTGCAATCAAGCTGCTCTTTAAGCAATGCCTTGCCCACCTCTTCCGCAAGGCTTCAACCTCCATTGAGGGCGACTCCTCACAGCAGTCTTGCCCCGAGCCGAAGGATTTGGTGGATTGTTTCATTTCATGTCTCACGGAATCTCTGTGCCCATTTCGGAATTCAATTTAGTCGGATCATAGCCATCGAGAAGCATCACTTTCGTCCATTATATTTAGTCACTAATATTACTAATATCGGAACCTCACTACCTGACCTCACTCTCCAAGCATCCTTTTGAAAAACAGGTCGAAACGCGACACGATCCACTCCCGGGCCAAAGAATACGACATAGCTAATTACCCACATCGTCACGCGTGCATTGAGACCAGTAGCGGCCTCGAAACAAAAAGAGAAACAAACACATCCTGGCGCTTCTTTTTCAACGTCCTACGTCCTGATGACCAGGGGCATATGCCAACATGGTCATCCATGGTCACTCCCGTATTTCTCTCTCCTCCAGGTGTGATGATGTCAGGGGGGGAGGCCGCGGTGCGGAGCTGCCCCAGGAGCTCTTCCTTGATCAACTGCCGTAGTTCCAAGACCTGAGAACGATCAAAACTACAATACATGTCCAATTGCAAACTCCATAACCCACAAAAAAAAAAGAACCACAATTTGGGCCGGTTCCGGACTTGTCGTCTACCTATATAACTTACATATATATATATATATAATGGCTCATCCAACTGCTCGGTACCAGTCCCAACGATCTGGGTCGAACAATATACAAACATATTAGTCTTTGTTGCTTGAAAGTAACGGAACTCCTTAGAACACTGCTAAGTCAATCTTGTACTCAAGATCTCTTTGGCTTGGTTTAGAGCAGGCCGTGCCCTTCCTGCCGTGGTGGCCGGTCACTTCGCAAGGAAAAGACACCCCCCTTGTGGCTGGTGAGTTGGGAAGCAACACCTTCTGGCTGACAGTTGCTGGTCGCAGGGGTTCATTCTGACAATTCCACTTTCTGTGAATCTGGTCCTCAATTTGGTCAATCTTCATCAGCGACAAGTGATTTCTTCCCATCGCGCCGAAACGAATTATTTCCCAGGCACCGAGTACTCGATGCGCGCCTGCTGCATGGGATCCCTCCGCTGGAGTCTCCGCAAGTGCCGTAGGAAGTCGCTGGTGCGGAGCTCAGACGAGTAGTCCGGCTTCAGCGCCAC